TTTTTTTTTTCTCTTTCTTTGGGCGTTTAGAGGCGCTGTCGGATTCGCTGTCGGATCTGCAACTTGGTAAGAGAGGTCAGTGGTGGGGGGTGGCACGGGAGATCCGGTCAGGGATTGTGTGGGGGGGGAGGGTTGAACGGTGAGCTTGGACGAATGGCAGAAGGGACGTTTAGAGGGGATAGTAGACCAGCCTGGAGTTGGAGGTGAGGGGGTAGGTTGGGGAAGGGGTAGGATGGGTGGTAGGTTGGTGGGTCGGAGGGTCGGTGACTGTCGAGGTGGGGGTGGGGAAATGAGCTGGGGTGGCCAGGTGGATAGATGAGGAGGAAATCTGGGTGGCGCGAGGTCGGGATTCGACTATTTGGACTGGTGGGGGGATAGGGGGAGAAGAAAGGGGGAGTGGGCAGGTTGGGGGTGACCCAAGAAAAAGTCTGCGTTGAGGGGGAGGGAGGAGATGGCGTGAAGGATAATAGATAGTGGGAAGGAGGGGTGGGGAATGGGAATGGAAAAGGCTAGGTGAGAGTCAAAGAGGACAAATAGGGAGAGTCGAGGTAGGGATTGGCGAGTAGACCGGGACGGTGTAAATGGCAGGGAGAGTGGGACAGTAGAGAGGATAGTGTAGGGAGACACGGGATTACACTGTGATAAGAGGGAGGGGTGGGACTACCGTAGGCAGGCGTCAGCTGGGTGGTTATTGGGTGTGGGAGGGAGGGGGGGAGCGAGTATGTTTGGTGGCGCAGCTGGGTGAAGGTTTGTCGGGGGGAGAGTTTTGAGTTACGGGGTCAGCGTATGTGCTGTGTGTGTGTGTGTGCTGAGAGTCGAGAGGGAGTTGAGAGGGAGTGGGGGGTTTGGGTCTGTCGAAAGGGAGGTGAGGACCAATTTGAAGAAAAAACAAAACACGAGACGAAGAGGGGACGAGCTTGGAAATGCAGAATGGGGAGGTGGTTAGTGGAGAGGAAGTCAGGCCCTGGTGGTTTTGAGAGATAGGGGAAGGGGAGTGGTGAGACTTGATCTCACTCGATGCTCGCTCTTTCTTAGGTAGGTCGTATCTTTGGCCTATCGATGAGTTTACCAACAGCCTCCACAAATGCCTTGTTTAGTAGTCACTTCCGGACAAATGCAAGAGTCGATGCGACAGGATGATCCTTGTGTAGCCCTCCGAGTGTTCCTTGGTTGGGGAGCTCGTTCCAACCTAAAATCGGTCTTGAAAGTTCCCCCTTCCCTAGGATCGTGGCCAGATGAGTGACCGTGGTCTCTCCTAGGTCGTCACACTCTTCCCCACTCGTGATGATGGCCTAGACGCTCGCGCGCCCGGGCTTTCTTGTTGTTGTCGTCGAGCTATGGCTGCTTCATCGTAGGTGATGTCGCTGCTCCTGGTTCGGGTGAGGCGCGGTGCCCGTCATTTTTCGAAATGAGGAAATCGAAACGCGGACGTGCGCGCGGCTGGGCTGCGGGCGCGAGCACAAAAAAAAATTAGCGCTGCTCTGCCGCATTCACGAAATTTTAGGTCAGGAAATCCCAAAAATTTCGCGAAATTCTTTTCTTTCATTTTGCATCTATTAGTAGGCAGCTTACCTCCGTGAACTCCGTACGGAACCATTTTGGGAATCCCCGATGCTGGAAGGTCCGGACAGTTGCAGAACTGCAACTTCCCGGAAGTTTCACCTGCAAACAAGCTCAAGTTAGCATTTTGCTTAGGGGCTGCAGGCAGCGAACTTTCGGATCACTAGTTGATCTCGGATTGACATCTAATTCCCGACATATTCATTTATTGCATTATTTTTTATTAATTAAATTAATAAATTATTAAAATTTAATTATTTTCGAAATATTGTCTGGGAAAGGGGGAGGGGGGGGAATTCCCTTTTGATTACAATGATTAGTGTGTCAGTCCACATTGGGATTCGGGAACTGCATGCTTGTCTGTTCCCTATCCCCTGTTCCCACCCCTTGTTCCCCTCTCCCGCTGATGGCCTAAAAGGACATTTGCAGTCACTGCAGTTCCCTGCAGCAACTCATGTCAGCAGGTCAGCAACCGGTGGTACTTCCTCGACGCAGTCCTCGAATAGCAGCTCTTCTCAGCAGACAGCAGCAACAGCCAGCACCACGCATCTGGACACCAACGGTACCCAGGAGGCGGCGAATGATGGTCCTGCCAGCGTTTCCAGTCTAAGGAGCCAATGAGGCGTCCGATGTGTTCTTGCAGCGCGTCCAGACCTTCATGGACCTGGCCGCTGCCGAACAGGAGCGGATTGCCACTGCAGCTGCTGAACAGCAGACACTGGCCAAAGAGGCAGCAGCTGAGCAACAGAGACTGGCCAACGAAGCTGCTGCCGAGGCACAACGGCTCGCCAACGAGGCTGCCGCCGAGGCACAACGGTTGGCCAACGAGGCCGCCATCCAAGCGCAGCTACAGCGAGAAGCCGACAAAGCACCGCAACAACAACAGCGTGCTGCAAGCACACAGGTCCCAGCGAACTCCTCACGACGTGGACTTTTGTGCCATCGGCCGCACAACCGGCGCCAACAGCGGCAGAGCAGGAGAAAACAGAATTGGCTTGCCTACTCAGATACTTGTTGTACACTGTTAACTGGCAGCAGGAGCAGTTGTGGCATCACCCCCAGGCAACATACCAGCAGCAGCAGATTCTCAAAGCTGCCACGAATGACTGCCGGACATTCACAACGGCGATCAATTCCGCCAAGACGCAGCAACAGCAAGTCAACGATGCGCTTACTATACGCCTGGGTACGGTTGAAGCACAGGCCCGTGCACCAGCCGCAGAACCAAGCGGTTCAGCAGCTGGCCAGCAATGGGGCCCGCGTGTCACAGCGATTGAAAGCAAAGCCGCTACCACCACTCAGCGCATCGATCACATCATCGGCCTGATTGGTGAGGTGGGCCAGTTTGAGACCCCAACGACGCTCAGCAGCCAAGTGACGGCACTCAAAGCCGAGCTGGATCAACTGAAGTCGAGACCAGACAGCGGCAAGACGTACAAGATGCCCAAATTCGACATAGCCAAATTTGACGACTATCACAAGACCGATGCACTAGCTTGGTGGACCGCATTCAATACGGAGGCGGATGTGCATCATGTTCCCCCCGAGCAGCGCCTCAACGCGCTGTACCTCCAGCTGATTGGCAGCAGACAGGCCTTCATGAACAATTTGGCGGTACAAAAGGCCTGTACGATTGCAACACTGCACAACAAGATTACTTGGGAAGAGTTTGAGCAGCTGTGGCAGACGCGGTTCATGGTCCGCAACGTAAGGAAGGCGGTCATGAACGAGCTCTACCATTGCAACCAAGGCACTATGCCTACCCGAGAATGGTTGACGAAGTGGCAGAAGTTTGTCGCCACTCCGAAATTCAACCTCGATCTCGAAGATTTGAGATCTGAGTTCTTCTCTCGGTCATGCGATGGGTTGACCACGACTCTCGGCAACGAGCTGCAGTACGAGACCTTCGATGCAGTCATATCAAGCACGAACATTCTCATACAAACGGACTGGCAAGCGGCTAATGAAAGTCGTCAGCAGCAGCCGGCCTATGTGGCAAAGCCAGGATTTCAGCGGCAAAATGTAAACGTGATCCTCACGGGATCACAAGAAGACCACACCGCTGCAGCAGCCTTTGATGAAGGAGATGTTGTAGCAGTGATCCCTCCTCAACGCACATGAGCTCGGAAGAAGAAGGCGAATACACAGACGTCGAAGGAGTGGGACAACAACCGTGGACGCAGTATCACATTAGCGAGGAGGTTTATAACCTCCGCCTGAAGTACAACTATTGTCTTTGGTGCAACAGCGTCAAACACGCGACCGCCCAATGCAGCGACAAGGGTAAACCTAGTGGGCCTCGTTCAAACAGCTCGGGAAACTGAGCACTGCAAGGAGCGCAACGACGGCTCTCCCCACTCCGCCAGAAACGGTTGCCTTGCTAGCAACCGACTTCATCTCCGGGGAACATGAGGTAGTCGACGATTCTCGTATTACTTACGAGGATTATGCAGTCCAGCTGGTCCCACCGTTGAACCAGCCTAGTCACGTGCATGAAGAAAGCGTATGCGCAGCTTGTGCACCGTCAACAAGCCGGCCGGTTTTTTCGCCTACACATTCCGAGGACTTGTCGGCGTGGTCGAGACTTGAGGATCTCGATCCGCTAACGATAGAGGACTTCCAATGGTTGCCTCTTCCCTCGACCGGATCCTTGCCCAAGCCGCATTGCAATGCCTTAATGGCCAATCTACGCGCTTACTTGCACACTACAGTACCAGCTCCGTTGACGGAAGATGGAGTAGCGGTTGTCGATATTCGTGACTACCTTGCGAAGATCGACCGCGAGCACGCCTCTCAAAGGTACGTCGAAACCGACGCGCCCCTTCTCTATATCCGCATTCAGATTGGAAAGGCAACCTGCAGTGCCTTGATCGATTGCAGAGCGTCTCACAACTATATGAGCCAAGCTTTTATGGCCTGCGCTGGCCTGGCCCCCCGCGTTCGAAGGGAAACGCAGCCAACGCTTGTAACACTCGCGGACGGACACACGCAAAAGTCAATTGACTGATGCGTTGACGGCGTCCCGGTTTACTTTGCGCCACTTGCGTGCGAGCCGGTGTCTTTTGACATCCTCGACACCAAGTTCGACATGATTCTAGGCATGTCTTGGTTGCGTAGCGCCGACCGCCCGGTGAACTTCCACAACCGCACCGTTCACATTCATGATCGGAACGGTGAGCTGGTCCTGTGTACGGTCCTGCCCCCTCACACTTCGACTGGTTGCCACGTGGTCTCCACAGCGAGGATTCGCGACACTATTACTCGGAACGACATCGACGAGATAGGAATATGCTTTTTGCATACGATCCCTCCGATGGACAGACCGACGACATCGCCGTCGGACCCACGTATTATTCAACTCTTAGACAGTTATGGAGACGTCTTTGCAGCTCCCGCCGGAACGGTCCCGGATTGGCCCATACGTCACGGAATTACTCTTCAGGACTGTGCCGTCCCTCCACGCGGATGTATTTACAGGATGAACGTAGAGGAACTCGAGGTGCTTCGCGCACAACTTGATGACCTCTTGGACAAGGGCTGGATTCGCCCGAGTTGTTCGCCCTATGGTGCCCCGGTTCTCTTCGTTCGGAAGAAGAACAAGGACCTCCGGTTGTGCATAGATTATCGAAAACTCAACGTACAAATGGTGAAGAACGTCGGCCCTCTCCCTCTGATTGATAATCTCCTTGAGAGGTTGGGCGGCGCCACGTACTTCTCAAAGTTGGATTTGAAGTCGGGTTACCACCATATTGAAATCCAGCCCCAGGATCTGTACAAGACCGCCTTCAAAACGCGGTATGGGCATTTTGAGTGGATCGTTATGCCATTTGGCCTCACCAATGCCCCGACAACCTTCCAAGCAGCTATGACGACCGAGTTTCGAGACCTACTCAACTGCACCGTACTCATTTACCTCGATGACATCTTGGTTTATCGTCGGACGTTCGACGAGCATCTCGAACACCTTCGCATTGTTCACAAAAGGCTTCGCACGGCCAAGTATAAAGCAAATCGCGACAAGTGCGAATTCGCGTAGCAAGAGTTGGAGTACTTGGGCCACTATGTTAAGCCGCAAGGCATTCATCCCTTAGCCGACAAGATCCAAGCCATCGTGGACTGGCCGGAACCCCGTACTACTACGGATGTACGCTCGTTCATGGGCCTGGCTGAATATTACCAGCGATTTGTCGACTCTTACTCTAAAGTTGTTGCACCATTGTCGAGGCTCTAGTCTCCGAAGGTGCCATTCGAGTTCAACGATGCAGCCCGGATGGCATTCCAGGCGTTGAAGGAGGCGATGCTACGTGCTCCCGCCCTCCGCATTTACGATCCCACCTTACGTACCCGAGTGACTACCGACGCTTCCGGATACGGCATTGGTGCAATATTGGAATAGTATGACGGCGATGATTGGCACCCGGTCGAGTACTTCTCCCAAAAGGTGTCCTTCGTCCATTCTCTAGATGATGCTCGGAACACTTTCTTCTCGGGCGTCGGCGTTTCACATGGAACACGGACAACAATCTGTTGACCTACTATAAAACGCAGGACACTGTCACAAGTACGATCGGCCGATGGATGTATTTCATCGACCAATTCAACTTCGACCCCGTCCATATTCCAGGCCCCTCTAATCGAGCAGCGGATGCACTATCACGGCGACACAATTTGTGTGCCTTAGTGCCCGATACATTTCAGCTCGACGACGATTTGCAGCCGCACTTCGTCAATGGTTACAAGAAGGACCAGAAGTACTCAACACTCTATGCAAATCTTGCATCAGATCACCCGCCGGCAGGGCATTATCGCATTTTCGACGTGTATTTGCTTCTCCACACGCGAGGGAAGGACTTGTTATGCGTGCCACGCGATCACATCTTGCGTACTCGCCTTCTTGGTGAGTTCCATGACTCGCGACTCTCGGCACACCTTGGCGTCGCCTGTACTTTGGCACGTCTTCGCCAACGTTTTCACTGGGAAGATGTCCTTCACGACGTCAACAAATATGTGCAGTCATGTGCAGTTTGTCAGTGCAACAAAGGACGGCATCAACTTCGTTATGGCGAACTCAAACCAATGTCGATTCCGCAAGAACCGTGCCTATCCATTGCTATGGATGTTACCGGCCCGTTTCCTCGCGATCGCCTTGGTCATGATGGCATTCTCACGGTCGTTGACCGTTTGAGCAAGTACGCCAGATTTCTTCCTTGCAAGTACCATGCTGCAGCGCCTGAGCTCGCACGACTCTTGCACACCGGCTGGATTTGCAGCCATGGTGTTCCGGAAGACATCGTGAGCGACCGCGATACTCACTCCATGTCGACATTTTGGACATCCCTCATGATTGAGTCTGACACGACAATGAAGCCAAGTTCCGCTCGACACCCACTGACGAATTGTGATGTGCGTGCAGGTGGCACGTGCGGAGATGGTGTGTGTGTGTGTGTGTGTGTGTGTGTGTGTGTGTGTGTGTGTGTGTGTGTGTGTGTGTGTGTGTGTGTGTGTG